CTGAAAATTAGAGATCGAAAAGAAATATGTATAAGAATCCAAAGTGGATCAACCATAGACATAGAAAAATGAATAAAACAATGAGAAATCGAAAAGAACCTTCGATTTCTTCGAAGATGAGGAAATGGTGGCCGAATGTTTGCGTTTTCTGACGAAGGCCGATGGGTCTGACTCATCTGAGGACTCCCAGTCCTCCTGTTCCTTCTCCTTCTCTTTCTCGACAGCGACGACCTTGGTGGACTTCGAAACTGTAAAAAAAAAGAAGACAGTTAGCTTACAATATACAGAATTAAAAAACATGAAAAGGTAGTAAAATCTCACCAAAAGGTGATGGAGTCAAAATCGTGACTCGATCGATATGTACAAGCCAGGGAGGTAGGAGAAATTGAGGGAGATGGAGGTAAGGGAAATAAGACAATTTTGATACAGAAATATCTTTGTTTTTGGGTTTTGGACGAAGTGTTTCCCTTAGGGATCTCAATTCTCGAACCCATTTGGGATGAGTTAAAGGTTTGGCGATTCCAAAGGGTGCTGTAGGAAAAGTGGGAAGGTGATTGAGACAATACATTTCAAAAGAGGTTTTTCCTAAAGGATTGATTATTTTGTGGTTCGATCGATTGGTGGTTGTTTTATGGGATAAGGAAATAACAACATCATAGAAAGTCGATTCTAATTTCAATGGGTTGTAACATATTTGATAAAAATTCTCGAATCGAGATATTTGAAGACAGTGGAAGTGTGTACCTTTCTTCGCTTTCGATTTGTTCTGCAACACAAGAGAAGGATGAGCAGTCAATTTTTGTCGGACTTCGTCAAAAGCAGAATGATTACTCGAGAACCAATCGGCCCACCATTGAGAGAAACCCACAGTTGATAAATAATTTGATTCAAAAGCATAGGGATAAAAAAGTAGTGGGGTTTGTGGTAGTAGTTTGGTCAACTCCCGTCCGATTGTCGATTCATTTAACTTGGACCTTGGGGAGGGATCAAGGGGGAAGAAAGGTAAGGATTGGCTTAAGCCAAATTGTCTCGAGAAAAGTTGGGGGTAGTAAGTGATAAACCTAAAATTCTTAGATTGGAAACCCGATACTAATATATCCTGAGTTAAATAATTACTCCACACATCGACCAACTCTGATTGTAACCCAGGAGTTAAGGTAGGGAATTTTGACTTAAACCAAGTTGGCCCTCGAAGTTGGTCACTGATTCGTCCAAGATGCACAGTAAAAGGAGCCAAAGTTGAATCGAAATGAAACCTAGTTAACAAAAATTTAAGGTATCTACAGTAAGTCGCTTCGTCGGGTTTGTGGTGAGGATGGCGAGAAGACAATCGAGCACCTTCTACATTTACACTCGGGGGGATGGTGGAAGTTGGGGGAAGGATGCTCTCAAAAATCGAATTCAGCCATAATTGTATAAACCAAATAGGGCCAGAAAAATTTCCCGAAGCTTTGGGGGTACTCAAAATCTCGACAGCCTCATCGAAAGTAGTATATACATGGGCTAACAAAAATTTGGCTAAACATATTCTAGGCTGGCCAGTATGAAGGAGGTAGGCAAGGTTGTAAAGGTGGGAGGAAATTTGGATAGATCGGGGGCAGAAAACATGGGTACATAACCAGTACACCAAAAAGGCTATGTGTTCTTCATCAGTTACAGCTATTGATTCGTCATCGACGAAATGCTTCTCGAGGAAATGTCCATAGGCTTTCGATTCCCAATCGATTTTGGATCTTAGGGAATTATCCGAGGGATATGCACCCTTAAAATATTTTTCCCCTGAAGGCTTCAAACCAGTGATCGCAGCAACTTCGAACAGGGTGGGCGAAAGGGGACCGCAAGGTAATTCCAAAGCGTGTAATTCCTTATTCCACAGATGAACAACAGATAAAAACATAGTCATATCCAAATGAGACAAGTCACATCGAGACAAGTGCAAGAAATCGAAAATCCCCACGTCTCTCCAATGATTCCCGAACTTAGTCTTAACTCTATCGAACCATCTAATGTACAAAGGTTTTTTGGAAGGGGGGCCTGTTCGATATACTTTAGAGGCAAGATTCAAAAAATCAACCCTAACTTCAGATTGGTGAACGAGAGCCTGGCTATTTGGGGAAAGATTAAGGGAAGAAAAAGATCCGCCACAAGAGCGGATAGGGCCCCCAAAAGCATAATGCACATCATCAACAATATAAGGGATGAGTACCTGCGTCTCAGCGACCTTCTGGGAAGCCTCCTCCATTAGAGGGACTGGAGCAAACTTCTGATTGTTGATCTCCAGAAGGCTAGACGCCAGCGAGGGAAGGGGTGGGGCTGAAAAGTCAGAAGATTTGGATGAGGTTGCCATTTCAATAAGCTGGTAGAATGGAGGAACAGAGGGCAAAAGGCGAAGTAGTAAGGTTGAAAGACAGAGGCGCAAGGTAGAAGATGAAGATTGCAAGGAGTAAAAGTTCGCGTAAAAAACCAGGGTAAAAGACTAACAAAGAGTTTAAAGGAAAAGCCACCTAAGGTACTGGAAACGTCGGAGGTGAAGGGTAATTAATGTGGCGCGTGCAATAAGGCAGCAGACTGACGCGATGACGACATAAAGTAAAAAGAAACCTAAAAACCCTGTAAACCCTAAAATCCCAGAAACCCTAAACCCTAAGTTTTGTGGGCCTCCAAACACCAAGGCAGGAATGTTGAAAGAATATAAACGGAAATTATTTATATTCTTTCAATGGGGCATTTTGTTAGTGGAAAATCGAGAAAAGTGATCGAAAAACGAAGGAAAGAAAAATCGAGAAACATGTGATTTATTGATAAATCGAAAAGATGGATGAGAAACCATTCGATGCTCAATTAGAAGTGCGTGGCACATAAAATTGAGAGGTAGAATCAAGAATCGAAGGAATAATAGTTAAATGTCTATTGTCGAATAAAAACCAAGAAATTAGAAGTATATGACATTAAGGTTAAAAGGAATCGAAAGCAATTCAAAGTTCTCGAGATCTTAAAATCGAAATTGAGGGGAAGATTAACTTACGAGGATATTGAAACCTTGGCCAAATCATAAAGAGAAGAATAGTTAAACACGCAGATAGGAAGCAGTTTTTAACCGTGGCAGAGGTCGAAGATCATGGGAACGTGGGTGCAGTTTTAACACCACAGGAAAAGAAACCACAACATGCACGAAGAACGTGGTAGCAGTTTCGTTAACTGCTCCTAAGAGACTACATGAAAGATGATCTATAAATAGAGCAAAAGATGAAAAGGAAAAGGAGGGTGGAAAAATTGGCAGAGAACAGAAATACTAGTGAGAAGTCTATCGGAGAACGACGAACATCATGAAGTTTCTGGCGATCTGGATTTCCATGCTCATTGAGTACCTTTACCGCTTTCTTTATTTTCCCTGGTAATCTAATTTGATGCAATTTATCTTTAGCAACTTTAAGTTTCTGTACTTTCGATTCCTTGTCATTTCCTTTAATGAAAGTTAAGTTTCCGCATTTAAGCTTCTTGCTATTTACATTTCTGTAATCTCGATTTCTTGTTATTTACATTTCCGTAATCTCGATTTCTTGCTATTTACATTTTTTGCATATTTCGATTTCCTGCCAGTTATATTTTCTGCAATCTCGATTTCCTGTCATTTACATTCTCGCTACTCCAATTTCTTGTCATTTAATGCAAATTTAAGGTTTCTGCATTTTTACCTCTTGGCAATTCAATTTTCTGTTTTGTTTTTCGATTCGACGCTTCTATTGCTTTGTTTACTTTGAACACTCTAAACATAAAATACCAAAAACAGCATTTTCGATACTATGTAAACTTCGATTCTCATATGCATTTCAATTGAAAATCAATTTGCTAGCCTAAGTAAAAAAGAACTTGCATGGTTGAATTTTGATTAGAATCAAAACCTCTTAAGAATCGGAATCGATCGAAATTCCACCAGAAACACTTACAAAATAAAGAAATCAGAACCAAGTCAAAATGATACAGATCAACCCCTCCTCTTGCATTTTTGTGACAAATATCTTACAATTTCCGAAGTAATATATATATTTAGTAAACATGTCATATTAATTAAGTCAATAAATAACTAAACCAGTCAAAACATGAGTTCAAAATTTAGTGATTTAATTGTGATAAACAAACTAAATTCAATAAAAATAAAATAAAACTAAATAATATTATATAATAATTGTCTTTTAAAAAAATGGACCTTTAATTTTATTTTATCAAAATTAATTCAAACAAAATCTTCAATTAATTTTTTCAATTTTACTAATTTTCCTGATAATTTGATATCAATTCAATTAAAATGTAATTATTTAAAGAAAATGTTTTGACCAGTCAAATAGGCTTTTAAATCAATGATTAAAGTAAATATTGAGAATTCGATTTTTAAATCAACGATTAAAGTAAACATTGAGAGTAATTTCTTTAGTTGTATAGTTTTTTCGAGCTGGGTAAAAAGCCCACATATGGCAATGGAGCCCAACTATATACCTTCAAATGTATTGAATTTATTTATTATTTATTCATTCGGCTTGATACCATGTCTATGTCCTAAATATTACCTAAATTCTTATGTCCAGAAAAAAAGAAATAGAAAAATGATTTTTTTATAAATTATAATTAATTTATGCATAAGTTAATTTGTTAAAAAAATAGATATATTAATTTTTAATTTTAATTTTTAATATGAAAATAAATTAATATAATGCAAATTTTTTACAGAATATAAATAATTAACACCAAAGTAATAAAAAAAACTTTTTTATAATAGTATAAATTTGACAAAGAATAAAATATTTCATTAAATTATAATATTAAAAATGATTAAACAAAAAAGGGAAAATCCAATATAATGGTATATTATTTATATATTATTTTATTTTATTTTTAATATAGAAGCGGTTAAATACATCAGATCTCAACTTATTTTCATTCATAACCATTTATTTTTGAAAAAAAAAAAACAGAGGAATAAACACTGATCTAAGTAGACTCGGTCAAAGCTCAAAACTACCATCCACCACAAGATCGAGTCCGGTTACAAACTCCGAGTCACCGGACGCCAGAAACAGCACAGCATCAGCGACATGTTTGGCGGTCAAAAAGACGCCTTTCAGCCTGCAGCTCTGTGCATACATTTTCTGCAATTCTTCGATCTCCATCGTCGGGTGCGCCGCACGGGTCAACGGCGTGGCCAACCCACTCGGTGAGACGCAGTTCACCCTAATACTGTGCGCCCCCAGCTGCATACTCGCCGCACGCACCAGCCCCTTCACTGCGTGCTTCGACATCACGTAGTCCGTGTACTGCATGCAGCCGTGCGACGCCGCCACGCTCGCCGTGCACACGATGCTGCCCCTCACGCGCCGCTCCACCATCGCGCGCGCGGCGTGCTTTACACACGCCGCCATGCCTCGCGTGTTGACGGCGAAGAGACGGTCGAATTGGGGAAAGTCGAGGTCGAGGAGTTTCTGGTTGGAGGGACTGATGATGCCGGCGTTGCTGAACAGCACGTCCAATTGGCCATAAGCGTTGACCGTAGAATCCACGAGGCTCTTCACTTGTTCTTCCTCCGTCACGTCACAACGGACATAGGTGCACCTATACAATATAAAAAAAATACAACAATAAATTTATTAATAATTATTTTATAGACTTATTAATAATTTCTAGTCATTAAAATTTAATTTTAAACCTTTATAAGCTATGTTTTTCTATTTTTTAATTGTAAACCTTTTCATTTTGTATCTTCAATTAGTTTAACTTTACTTAGCTTAATTTTACTTCTCTCTATTTTATCACAAAAAAAAATCTATTATTTAGAAAATATTACTTACCTAATTATATAATTTATTTACAAAATATAAATTATATCAAATTAAAATAATTATGACTTAAAGGATTCAAACTCAATAACTTAAAGTTAGAAATTGATATTCTAACCATTAAATTACTAAGATTTTTTATAATAACTTACAAATAAGTTATATTTATTTACAAATAAATGTATATCTATGTAAATATATAAATATATAAATATATCAAAATATAAATATATTTGTATTTATGTATTTTATATTTATATATTTACACTGGATAAATATAAATATAATTTATTTATAAGTTATTATCAAAATATCCCTACTAACTTAATGGTTGGAGTATCAGCCTCCAACTTTAAGGTAAAATGATATTCCCATAATAAGCTTTTTTTTTAGTGTGTTATTAATTATTTTTTTCCCTTATGTAAATAATCTGGTCTATCTCTTCATTAAAAAAATTTAACTGTTTATTTTTCAGTTACTTAGAATTATTATTTCTCTAAAATTTATATCCTCTTACGTAGTAGCTCTCTTAATTATGAGTGTAATATTTTTATCTAATCAAATGAGAGGAAATTTTTCTTTACCTATTTTATCTTATGATACATAATTTTTGAAAAGTGTGCATAGGAACACTAGGGTTATTGCATATGGGATTTTTTGGGTAAATATAAATGTCTATCATTGTAAGATTTTTGGGTAAATATGAATATCTATCATTATAAGAGTAAAATAATGTATTTGATTTGTTTATTATAGTATTTTATGAACATGATTGAAATTTTTGTGAGTTATGAAAAATTAAGAGCTTTATGGAGCCTTGCATTGGAAAGGCAAGAAAGAAGGAGGGAAATTTGGTTATTATAAGTTCATTAATACCTTAAGATAGATATCTAAATGTGGAGAAGTAATTAAGTAACTAATGTTTATTTTGCAAGAATTATAGTTGAATTATAGATTGGAATTTAGGGGTGAATAATCCTAATTGAAGTTTGATGTTGTATGATTAATTGATTTGTAAATATTGTTTTGAAGATTGATTATGCATGTACACAATTTTGATGGAAAATAATTAAGATTAGTTTAATTACACTAGAATTTGGGTAGAAATCATAACAAATGTGTATTTAAATTGGGTTGAGATGTATGTGAATTAGTTTAATAAATTTGTTTAGAATCTGTTTTTTCATAATTCACCATTGATCACTAAGGCAAAAATGTACATGACAAATTTTTGCTTGAGTAACTAAATTTATAAATAAAGAAAAATATCTCAAACTCATTTTTGCATGTGAAATTTTTTTGATTGGAAAGAGAATTGACTCTGCCTTAATCTTGCTTAAGCGAGATACTAATCATTTAAGCAAGAACATGATTTGCTTAAATAACATACCTTTGCTCAAGTAAAATTATACTGAGAAAAATGAGAACTTTGAAAGGAATGTCATTTAAGCATCATTTATAGATTTAGAAATTTTATTCAATTGTTTATTTATGTTATTATTTTCTTAATTGCATAATTATTATATTAAATATTATGTTGTTGTGATAAGCAAGATGATTTGTGAGAATGAAATGAAGTGATAAATGGATATTATGTGATTGTGATCGAGGTGTGTGTTTATTCATGAAAGTAAAACGAAGTATAATCAATAATATAATGAGTGAAGAGTTAATGAAAATATAGTCGTTTGGTTAGTTGATGGAAATAAACATCTGATAGATAAATGTATAGTGATATTATATGACATAATATCGAGTATCTTAAAATATAATAAATGTTAATCCTGTGTTTATAATATAAAAATTATATTTTTTTAGTTTTTTTGTCTTCTTTTCAAGAAAGTATAAGATAAAAAAATTTAAAAATAAATAAGATATCTTAGAATAAATTCTTTTAAGTAAAAAAATAAATACATTTTTTTTATTATTATTATGAAGTTTCATTTTTAATGTAATATAAAAATATGAAATAAAGATATAATTTTTTTTATTATAAATTAATTATTTTAATATTTTGTGATATTTTAATATTAAATATAAATAAAATATAATTTAAATTTTAAAAATATTTTTGAAAATTTAAAATTTATTTTTTATAAAATAAACTTTATTTTTAAATTAAATAAATAATATTAATATATAATATATTATTTTTCTTTATATTCCGTCGGTGGTTACAGTGATGCCTTACTCATAATAGATGACTGGAATCGGTGGTGGGCCCAAACAACATCTTTTCACATGTTTGCTCTTCGTTTTCTTTAACGTTATGATATTTTGGCACGTCCCAGGAGTCATTTTCTTTGATGACCAAAACAATCTATTAATTTCAAAGTAAAATCCTTTTACATATATTATTTCAATTGATGGTAAATCAAATTGTCTCACATATTTTGAATTAATTAAGGTTTTATAAAGACCAATTTTCTAGAAAATTTGGCTAAGAAATTAAAGATAGTGTATTTTTTTTTTCCATTGGTTTAAGATTAGAAGAGTAGTGTATGGTCATATATATTTCAATGACTCAACATCGAATAATTTTTAAAAGGATATCACTTTTAATTTTTTTTTGAAGAGGTTTAATTAAATTTTATCTCTTAATATATGATCATTTTTGCTTTAACTATTTAATAAATTTAAAATTTAATTTAAATTCCTAACCTTTTTACTCACCTGTCCGTTAAGTTAAAGTACATATCATATTATCTAAAAGATTAAAGAATTTTATTTATTAAGTTTTTAATGTTCTTATGCTAACTAGATACATCGTTATAAAATAGAAAAACTTATCAATTATTATAATTAAGAAATTAATTGAGGAACCAATGAAATTTAAAAATATTTTAAAAAATTAACACAATAATATAAAAATATTAATAAATACCTTCTCAAAAACTTAAATTCAAATTTCATTATTTATTATATTCTATCAGAAGAAATTTTTTATCTGTATTGAAAAAATAGAAAAAATACTTAAAACTAATTTAAATCTAGAATTTATCAATTTGTAGATCATCATTTGACCAAAGGAATATATAATTTTTACTGAAATCATGATCTAGATAGTGTTTCTGTACGCTCTTTTCGCTTATTCTCTGTAAGTAAAAGTTGAGTTAAACATATTTAAAAAGTTTCTAAAAACTTAAGATTAAATTTTAATATTGTAAACTAAAAAAATATCGTGATTTGATGACAGTATAATCAATTTGTGTATACTCTACTTTCTCTTATTTAATATATGTAAATTTCAGTTCCTATATATGGAAACATATTAGTAGGAATTTTTTACGGAAACACAAATTAAAAATAAAAATTAAAAGAAATTTAACTATAAATTAGTTTATATACAAATTAATTGAAGCTTATAAAATATTTGATATTTTTCTAATATGTATCTTTTATATTTATGAAAAAAACAATGTCATGGCTAATATTTTACTTTCACAAAATAAAAGTATGCAAGAATTTATTGTACCTATGAGAGCCAATGGATGCTGCGACTTGGTGGCCGAGATGATCTTGGATGTCTGCAATCACCACCATTCGAGCACCGTGGTTGGCAAACAGACGCGCCGCCTCTTCGCCGATGCCGCTGGCTCCGCCGGTGATTATGGCAACTTTACCGGCCAACTTTTGGGCAGTGTTGTTCATTGAATGCACTGATTCAGCCATTTCTTTATTATTTTTCTCTTTGAATGGATAGAGGATGTCCAAGCCTAACTACATGCTCATATATATATATATTCCCTACTTTTCACTACCAATATCTCTCTGTTACCTCACGCACTCACATTCTTTAGTACACTTAATATTCATATTCTTTGATCGCCCTCTTCATCATAAAAGGAAAGAAGAAACAAGAAAAATAAAATACGAGAAAAAAGGTAAGAAATCAATAAATAATTTTATTTATTATTATTATTATTATTATTATTATTATTATTATTATTTATTTTTACATTTTTTATTATTATAAAATTTTAAATTAAAATCAATTTATATTAAATAAAATAAATAATTTATAAATTGTAATGAAAACCTCACACAAATTTTCCCCGATTTATATATTTATTGGATCGTGTTAATATATTTCAATTATTTTTAATATTATTTAATAGGTATATTAACGTTAGTTAAATCATTTTATTTAATATTAATTAACTTTATATTAAAATATGATAAATTTAATAATAATAATAATAATAATAAAATATTATAATTATCATTTATAATATTAATGACATAATCAATTATGAATAATTTATGTACGAGATATTTTTTTAAGTACTAATTCAACCTTTTACTCTACCTGAATGATTTTAAGTTAAAAATATAATAATAATAAAATTAAGTTGAAATCCGATAATCATTCTAATAAAGAAAAGAAAAAAATTATTATAATTGATGGTTTAAAAATTATATAATCAACAAAATATTAAGTATAACTAATTATCGATTATCTGATTAACTTTCTCCTCACAAGTATGGAAAGTTTAATTACATCTCTATCTCTCCCTCTCAATTTTTACGGATATTTTCTAAAGTAAATCAGCGACTATTTGAGCTTTTCGTACCTTTTTTCTTCCACCTCGCTTTCGCGTGTTCAAGAATATTACCTCTTTTTATAAACGAAAGAAATTAATTTCACATATTAAGATAAAAGTTAAGTGCATTAAATTTTGTTAATCTCTTAATATTCTTTTCATAGAGTTCTTCTCCCAAAACTAAATACTAAACTGTTAGAATTAATTAAAGTTAGGGTGATTAAAGTTGATTTATATTTAAATTAGCAAATTTCATCTTTTTCAACGATTGCGTCTAATAGTTTTTTTTTTTTTTTTTTTTTTGTAATCTACGACTAACCAGTGTTTTAAGATATTGATCGAAATTTAAAATCGTGTTATTTTTAGAATTCTTATGAGGAAAACATTGAAAATGAAAATAAAATATCTTGATTACATTTGAAATAAAAATTTTATTTTTCAAATTTATTGAACAATGGATTCTCTGTGGATTCCATTTCATGTCAATTTTTTCTTCTTGTAATTATTCACGTCCACTCAATTCAAGAACATGTTAATTGACACCTCAACTGATAATAGCCTCATACTTGTTTGTATTTATAATGCATCGGCATGAACAATCAATTTAAAAATTGAAGCAACTCTTTTACATAAGTCAAAAGATATTAAAAATCTTAGCAAAAAGACAAAAAAAATTTTGTATAATTTTGACGCTTAATTCATTTTTATTTTGCTTCAAATTTAAATTTAAAAATAATTTATATATAATTCCCTCTTTTAACCAATCAGAACGTTTTTTAAATATAAAGTAACATACAATAATTTTAATTATAACAATGTTATTATAATAAATAAAAAAAATTATAAATAATATAATAATAAATATATAATATATAATTAATGAAAAAAATATAATTAAAAAGTAAAAAAATTAAATTAAATTAAAAAATATTTTAAAAAATAACTATACAGAAAATATAGTCACCGGTAAAATTTAATTATGTCATTCTAAATATTTTAACATCTCTCTTTTCTTATTTTACTTTTTATCTATTTTCTATGTGAAACACATCATAAATCATGTACTATAAATAATAATGACAAAACATCACATGTGTAAATTCCAACATCACTAAATTTAAAAATGTTTTTAGCATGAATGTGTCGGTCGACAACATTGTTTAGTACATTCACACATATATTAGAAAACATATTTTAATTGTAAAATAAATATTAATTATAATTATATCTTTATTTAATTCTAAAAATGTAATATGTCATCAAATTTTAATTTAATCGGGCTTAAAGTCAAATAATAATCGAAAATTTTTATTGAAAAAAAGAAACGTGTTACATCTTACGAAATATCATCCCTCATTGTGTTGATTAACTTTGATTGCATGTGGTAAAATCATTGGTCCAACTCAGATAAATAAAAAATATATATGTGTCATTTTTCTTTTTTAAGTTTTTCAATTTTTTTCGTATCTTTAGTTCTTGCTTAATTGATTGCTTATAAAGTTATAGTAGTCATGTAGTGTTTTTTTTTTCTCCTGATTGCATAGTTATATCATTTTATATTCAGATGGTTCTTATAATAAAAAAAGAAAACAGTTTTTCTTTTTTAGTTTTTATGAGGAGGAGTGAAAGAAAATATAAATTATGTATCAAGACTACACAAAGATATGCTTAAATATAAATACAACTTATAATCGTAAATATAGAAATTAAGTAAATAACTAATTCTGAGAAAGTTTTTTATAAAAATAAAATTAAAATTAAAATTTTTGTGAGAGAATCTTTATTTTTTAATTCTCAAATTTAAATATAATGAAATTCAGATATAGTATAAAGAATAACTCCTAAAAAAACAATTGCTTTTAGTTTTTTTTTCCTTCTTATCTAATTAATCATTTGCTTCACGGAATTATACAACCATCACAGAATAACGCAAATAACACAAACATACAATTCCATTTGATTCCTTGTAATTCAAAATATTGTTATATTCACAAAATACAGGAAATTTTCCCTTCCAAAACTAGCTTCCCTTACATTTTAATTATATTCCTTCAAGCAAAATTTCCAAATGCTTAACAAATATGCAAGAAATCAAATGTTGTTTACAAAACATATAAACAAATTATAGATATTATTATGCTCCAAAATTAGTAAAGTTTTGTCTCTTTTTTAATAATTCGTGCATGTAAGAACCTTGGACCCATGTGTAAAATCCTAACCTGAAATGCAAAAATCTCTCAAAAAGGGGAAAGAGAAATTTATCGTATTTCCACCTATGATGAAATGGGAAATATCTATTTAAAATATGCATGGATCTAGATAAATATAAAAATAAGAGAGAATAGAGACATATTAAAGTGAAAAAAATTTTGAAGTTTTAAAAATATGATGATTTTGTATAAAAAATTTTAAATTATTAAGTTTTTTTTTATTTATAATATTTTTAACTTATTAATTAATAAAATATTAAATTTTATCTCTTTAAATCATTTATATTCTTAGATGTAAAAGTTGATTATAAAAAAAAATGTATGAAAAGATTAAATTTATAGATTGTGACATTTTTTTCTTATTATTATTATCTACATAAGAGTAGCAGGTAAAAAAAAATTACATATATGTAAAAGTAATTTACATCACTATATATATAAGATATACAAAAGAATAAAGAATTTTATTTTTGATTCCTTCTATTTTTTCTACAATTATGCAAATATCTACAATGTCCGTGGAAACAAACTAATTAAGGGGTTTTGGTAAAAGGTAGGAGACATACAAAAGGTAACCACTACTTGGTCCATCTAACATAATGTGATTTCTCATATCGGATGCAAATGTTATTATTAATAATCCTGTCCATTTAAAAGTAACCGAGTTGTCTATAACGTTCGTGTTCCAAGTAGTTTCTGGAAAGAAGGCGGTGATACTTGCACAAAAGGGATTTGGAATGTTTGGTGCCTTCATCTACTTAAGTTGATATTTAAATAAAACATGCACAAAAGATCACAATAGGGAGTGAAAACATTTATCATTTACAATAATACAATCTTAATATATATATATATATATATATATATATATATATATATATATATATATATATATGTTTCAACTTTCTCAACACATTCTATTTTATGAAGATTTAAATTAAACTTGTAGTGACTAGTCGGGATAAATGAACCCAATTTTAATCACTCTCCTAGTGATATTTACTCATTTAAATCCCCAAAGTCCAACTTCCAACTACAATATCATCAAACCTTCACAAATAGATATTATTATAATTAAATAATATAACTATAAATTAATAAATAAGATCGCTGCATTACTAGAGATAAAATAAAGTAAACAAACAGGACCAGTACATAACTGGAGATAATTAAAATAGGACCAATGCAAGACTGAAGATAAAGTAAAATAAACAAACACGACCAGTACATAACTGAAGATAATTAAAATAAAACCAGTGCAAAACTAGAGATAAAATAAACAAGCATAAGGCAGAACCCTTACATAGTTAGAGATATACAAACAAGTAACTAAATAAATAGAATGAGGTTTGGGACACATCACTCCACGACTATAATTAAAATAAAAATAGATTTAATGATAATATTCTCCTCCCCTACCTTAAGAACTGCAGATGATGTACCAAAATTTTGCAGAGACAATTTTATCTTTCTCTTTCTTTTCTCTCCTTATCTTTCTCCCTTTCTCTTTTTTTTCTCTCTCTCTCTTTCTCTTCCTCCCTCTCTCTTTCTCCCTTTCTCTTTCTCCCTTATCTTCCTACGGATCTTCCCCCTTGCTCCCTTTTTATAACAATTTTTTTTTCATTTATTTAATTAAGTAATCATAAATGCAGTAATTATGATTTTGATAAGGTTTATCTTTTAGGATAAGATAACTTTATCTTATATATATATATATATATATATATATATACTAATAATTAATATTTCTCTTCTCTTTCATGTTTATGAACAATGTGCAGATCTTCTTGGGAGCTGAGGGGGTCATGGCCCCCCAAAAGTTTTGTAACTCCCATGTAATTTATGATTTTGGCCCCCCAAACTTAATGAACATTTAATATATTTACTTGTATATTTACAATTTTATCCTCTCAGTCCC